AATCAGCGAAGTGCACACGCTTTCGTACGATAAGGTTGGCTGACATGGTTCCCTGTTTCCAGCCTGTGATTGCTGCGTGGCCCTCCAACAGAACGGTTCTGGGTGCACCGATAAATGTTTCCCCATTGGCGATCCAATGCAACAGAACAAAAGAGTCACAAGTGCGTCGGAAAGGTAAATGCTGCAGCTGTGATTCGTTAGCATATAATGTTAGTGAAAATTGAGATCATATCACTTACATAGGAATCTGTTGGCTTTCTTTTTTTAATTGAATCGAGTATATTTATGCCGCTCTCATGATGCAGTGCAGACATAACAGATGCATATTATACAATGGGCCTTATTATTGCTCTGTATTCTACTGCTCTACATTCTTTTCTTGCAACTCGAAGGTTTCATTTTTGACGCCTTCTTTGTTATATACTGAACGTGAGTATGCCCTTTCAAACAAGGGGTCAAAATGACGCCGTATTTAAAAGGGCTTACAGTTGCGAGCTTGTTGCTGTACCTTAAATATGTAAACTTGAATTGGTAGTTTTTATTTAGAAAAGTCGTTAAGACTGCTTTTTTTAAGTTCAGTGACATCGGCCATGTCTTACTACACTCACGAAAAACGGCCAAGAATTTTCATTATCTACAACTGATCTTCAGTACCAGCTGGCCAGAACCCAATATTGAACGCAGTCATCGGCAGAAAGTCTCAATTTAGCAGAAGCGCTACTAGTTACTTTAGTGACGCCATTTATATAAATGATGCATAGTAATGGACTAAGTACAGATTCTTGTGGTACATCTGATGTAACACTAACTTCAGATGAGTGGCGATGATTCAATACAACAAATTGTGTTCTTGAGCTCAGGTAGTTAGTTCTGTGTCCAGTCTGTAAGTTTAGAATCGTGAATTCGTTGAGTTTATTTGAAAGTTTGATTGATTGATATGTGGGGTTTAACGTCCAGCAATCACCATATGATTATGAGAGATGCCGTAGTGGAAAGCTTCAAATATTTTGCCCACCTGGGGTTTTTAATGTGCACTTATATCTGAGCACACGGACCTACAACATTTGCCTCTATCGGCAATACAGCCGCTGCAGCCGGGATTCGATCCCGCGACCTGGGCTCAGCAGCCGAGTACCTTAGCCACTAGCCCACCGTGGTGGGGCAGTATATTGGAAAGTTTATTATGTCACACTTCATCAAAGGCTTTATTCTAATCAAAGAAAATGACATCCCTATAAAAAACAGTGTTTTCAGTGTCCCCCAGTGTGTTTCAGCGCGCTGGGTGGCGCTGGAAACGCTGTACAGTGTGTTCCATTGTGCTACAGCGCACTGCGAGGCACTGGGACACACTGTACAGCGTAGCCCAATGTCTTAAAGCGCGCTGGGAGGCACTGGTTCCGCTGTACAGTCTCTACCGCACGTTGATATCTTTAGTGACACATTGGTAGAAACTAGGCGCGATCGGCGCACTTTCTGTAAGACTTCATATTGAATCGCGGCATGTCGAGCGTAAAATTTTTCGTATAAGATGGCATTGTCATCTATGTGCTAAACATATATAGCTTCAGTTTCCTTAGGCAATGGATGCGAGTACGCTGAAGCATTCATATGTTGATCGTGCGGGTAAGAGGCGCTGCCGGGATTCAGCTTGGGGGGACAAACGAGAATTTTGTGCCTGGGGGGGGGGGGGGGCAGGGAGGACGGAACCTGTGCATAGTGTTTTACCTATGCTTGCTCCCGGAGGTGAGGGCAAAAGGGGGGCATGCAAGAATTTCAGGAAAAAAGATTAGAGCCCACCCATGGATGCCCTTCTTGGCGCGGGTGCGCTTTACTTGAAGTTTGATTGAGTTTCGTTGATGTATTTCATAAACGGCAATGATAGACCTGAGAATTCGCAACACAAAATTACAGTAATATCAGTCTGGTAATCAAGATCAACCTACTCTAGCAGTGAGTCGTTGCGACTAGTACCGCAGAAAGCCGCACGTCCCCGGCCACGGTTATCCACTGCATTGCTCAATATTGCCGTTTTTAGCTTCCTTTTTGTGTAATCGAAGGTGAAAATATGACCATTCATAGGTCAGTCATGATCAAAACTACATTGTAACAATTATAAGACTCTTTCCAACTGACTATCTACGATCTTCACAGCAACCGTGGCTCAAGAAGTACGGCCCTAAGCCTAGTGGTCGTTTCGGCTATAGTGAACTGCTGCGGCTGTCGTTCGCGGAACGTAAACAAGGAAGACAGAAAGTACTTCCAAACTATCGAGGGGTGAAATATACAGTGTTGAGTGAGCAGTTCAGATGAACGCAGTTTTATACATAGGTATGACTAACCGCATAGCGAGCAACTACGATTGCCGTAACGCATCTGCAGCTACGCTAACAAGCTTTGCGGCAAAACGTGCCGGATTGACTCGAGATCGAAGGCAACCCGCAAAAAATGAGCTAACAATCGCAAGTTTGGCGCGAACACGAAGAGACTAAACACTGCGCATGTAAATGACAAATTCCAAATATAGGACACCTGAATTACTTTTAAGATAAAGAAAAAAATATACTCAGCCTCGTGTTCAGGTGTGGAGTAGTGAGCAACGTGTCTGGATCAAAATATATGTGATGTGTTAAGGTTATAGGTTCGACTCCCGCTCACTAAAGATTTTTTTTGTTCACTGCGTGCCTATTTCAGCCTTAATTATGATGTGCGTATGGCCACAAATTTTTAACACAATTTATAAGCCATATTACGGCTGATAATGGGTGTCCCAGAGTGCAGCGCCAGCGTGCCTTGTGCAGCGTGGCAATGTCCCAGTGTCAGCGCCACACTGCACACTGGTCCAGTAATCAGGTATGGCGCTAGGCCAGTGCCACTGGTTTTTGCGATAGGGATCAAGGTGTGCTCTGACATTTAGTGTGGATGCAATATTGTGGGAGAATTATAGTATTGTGTCACGGTCAAAAAGCCAGGATGGAAGCTTTGTTCCTACTTCTGTTTGCACCTGATTTGCCCTCACGAGCAATGTCCAAGTAAATTGTAGCTTCATTTTGTTTATGTACCGCGAAGACATTCTCAGGTTACGCATTCAGAAAATCAATTTTTTCGCTCTCATTACACAGAGATATTAAAATTTGCATATTATTTTAAAGTTTAACCCATCCTTCAAAGTGATTGTGTGCTGTTCGCCCCATTGGCGATGCAGTAATCTATCATGACCGAACTGCCCTCCGTGAAAACAACGTATTTATTTTTTTAAAAGTAAACACGCATCATGTGTTTTTTTTTTCAATAAATGCACCACTGATAGCCTCTAATCGTCCACTTGGCTGCTCTTATTCAAAGCGGATATAAGTCATATTTTTCGCCCTGTTACCACATGTTATCGCAGCACACAGATAAAGAGAGCATTTCCTCTGTCCTGAATAGATATGCGCTGCGCAAACGGGTCAAGTGTAAATCCCGAATCAATCTATCTACGTATATACATCATGAATATATATCGACTCGCCCGATTCTCAGTGCCAATCAGTGCACTTATTTCTATTTCATGGATAATAGGTCGCCGCTAATTTTTCTCGCCTGATATGACCTTAGGGGACGAAAAGTCACAATTGCTTTTCAGAGTAAGTGAAGCTGTGTGTCGCGTAGTGCTTTAAACCTCGGCCGGTTCTGTTGCAAAAGTTTTGCGGAAATAGTACTTTTGCGGGAATGGTCTAAATTAGGTTGATCAGGCTATTTGTGTAAAAAGATGCCCGCCGTTAAATACGCTATGAAGAAATGCATCGAAAACAAGCACAAAAGGGACACATCAATATCGACGTGGACGTAGCGTGTGTCATGTTTCATTATTTTTGACGCTGTTGTAAAATATTGCAAAGACCACCAGAACGACTAAAGCATCAAACACCTTGTTCATGATCTGAAGACGTCAAAGTGACAGATGTTCTCACAGAACCACAACAGTACCAGACGCTAACAATGGGCTGCACTGCACGGTCTTGCTGTTTTTAATACATTGTTCATGAGTAACAGTTTTTAAGACATTGTTCACAGACTGTTTTTATGGTATGGCAGACACAGCCGAGAAACTAGGCGCTGTTAGCATGGGATCCTAAATGTGAAAGCCGAGATTGCGCTGACAGGCAAATAAATTTACGTGAACTGGCACCGATGACACAAGAACAAAACATTTAAAGGGGATTTCCAGATCAACCAAAACAATGTTCGCACTGTCCAAAATAATTAGACGTCATTAGAATTACGGAGCCAGGTGGAGATTAAATGCCCTCACAATTGGGAGGACAAATGCGTGCAGCAAGTATGTTATCGCTTTTTTGGTTGGTAAACACCCACCCGTAATGTTTATTTAGGTGTGATTTAGAGAATAGCCTTGGCAGTGTCTTTGTTGTTTTTCGACAGCTGCCTGTGATGAATTTTTTCTTCGAAATGCTCACTTTGTGTCCTCCTCACCCCGTTCCCCTCACCCCCACCCCAGCACTTCTGCCTACCTTTTGCATGTATCCCTCAACGCACATGCATAAGGATTGAGGTTGTTCGTATAATGCGATCTCCCCTTTGCACGCTACCTGCGCGACAAGTGCCACTGTCCATCGCGGTGGAGCAGCTGGTTCAGTGCTGACGCGAAGGTCGCAGGTTCGACCCCGACCGTGGCGGTCCACCTTCGATGGTGGCAAATTGGTGGAGGCCCGTGTACTGTGCGATGTCAGTGCACGTTAAACAAGACCACATGATCGAAATTCCCGGCGCGTTTCGCTGCGCCATCTCTCATAATCATATCGTGATTACGGGACATAAAACCAGAGATATATTACTGCAGTTTCATACAATAGAACATACTAGCACCAACTAATGTTGTAGTATATGTGTGCAAACAGTCTTCCATTATTCTACGCTGCCACATTGGTTCCCTCATGTAGCACAACAACCGTTCACTTGCTCTGCACCAACCTTCCTTCATGGACTCAATGAACATCACTCACATTTTTCGCTGCTCACTCCGTAGCCGCCAACAGCAGTCGAGTGACGATATTCGGACCACGCGCACCGGTTCTTTCGAGAACGGGGCCGCCATCCACAACGATGACGCGTGTGGCGGCGGACTGGTCCGGCCAGTTTCCCTCGTCGTCTGTGGCGAGAGCTACAGGCTAGCTTACTCAGTTGATCGAACAATTGGGTTGCACGCTTAGGCGGCAGTTGTTGAAGCGACAGTAAAAAGTACATTTACATATTCCCAAATGCTTTGCAAAAATTTCATTAATTCAGCATTTTTCGTACGAAAATTTAGAAATAAAATGCGGCCTTAAGAGCAAAACACTGCTATGTTACCAGCTCGACAAGGCACCGGCTCCTCTTTTCTTGGCACGGAATTCCGCAGAAGGCAGCTATGCGGGAACTGAAAATATTAATAATAATATACTATTAAAACAATATAATTATAATAATAACAATGATGCATGATGACTTGCGCAGTCGATGTAGCGTACAGCAAGAGACGCCCGAGCGTGCATCTTCTCCCTCCTCTTCGCTACATTGGCCCCCGAAAGGGAAGATGAGCCCAATTGGCTTACGCACTATGAAGGGGTCACAGTATACGGCTTAAGTTGACTGACATTAATCGCGTCTCGACCGCGATGTCTGAAGACGGCATCACAAGTGCGACTATGTAGTAGACGTGAGGCTGGATCGACAACCAAACCAGTCGGGAAATATGCTGTGGTTGCGTCATTTGCCCATCGCTGCTCTCCGTGACCTTATAAAGCTGCAGTAACTTAAGTGAGTGAGCAGCCTACAGTCATCTGCAAATCTCGCCGCTTCGGACACCGGCGTGCATTCGGAAAAGTGTAGTCGGTATGGAAGCCTTTCTGAAAGAAGGTTATCGTCCGTGCAACTAGAAAAACGGTAAAAGTCTGTGGTGGCTTGTACAGCTGAATTATAGGCGTAGGTCAGAAATGGTAAAACAGCATCCCAGTCACTGTAATCTGGTGTCACGTACTACGTAGCTATCATGTCACCAAGTGTGTGATAAAACCTCTCCGTCTAGCCGTTCGTTTGCGGCTGGTATGCGTGTGACTGGCGGTGAACGATGCTGCACGTTGTGAGAAGGGCTTGTATTACGTTGGACTGGAAGACGTGCCCTCTGTCGCTACGTAGTTCACGTGGTGCCCTATGTAGAAGAACCAAGTGTCGCAGAATGAATAATGCAACTTCGTGAACGGTGGTGGTTCGCAGGGCTGCAGTCTCAATGTACCACGTTCCACGCCGAATATTATGCACCGCTTACCCCTGTAACTACATGGAAGTGGACCATGATAAAATGCATGAGCAGGGCAGCCAAGCGGCTGTAACTTGCCAAAAGGGTGAACTTTACACCACTGGCACACCATGCAAGCGCGAATATGCTGGCAGAGAAAGCCATACATTCCATGCAAGTAGAAATGCAGCCTTAGGCGAGTAAAATTTTAACCGGTGCTCGTGAGAATATGCATACAGCTACAAACACTCGCGCAAAAAAGCAGACACTTAGAAAAGCTCTGCAGCCCTCGCGTATTTAGGGAATCGATGTCATGTGAAGCATGCGATCTTGAATTTAAGCTAGACAAGAAGAGCTTTATCTTTGGATCTATTTATCACTCCCCATCCTAATGGGCCATTACCTTTTATGTAGCCCTCCATCAGGAATTGCACACACTACCTCTTAGTCGTACAAATGTGGTGATTATGGGTAATTTTGAACATTAGTTTGCTGGACCTATCTTTTTATAGTTCCCTGAAATACTCCACTGTTTATTAGATCATTGCTTACGAATGTCTAATCTCCCTTCCTAGTCATTTTATCAATGGTGGAAGCACCTTGATTGTTCATGCACCTTCTAATTTATCATAAGCAAAGGATACAGGGGTTCTTAACGTCGACCTCACGTCGAATAAGGTCTTTAGATTTAAGTGTTCAGTGCTCTGACAACCAGCTCTGCTGGTGCTTTGATCCGCATGCTCAGAAAGCTTTACCTCCATTTCATTCCGGTCATTCCGAACTAACCAGGAGAGCCATCGTGACGACTTGCCTCAAAAACGCATTGAACAAGTCATGTGCGCACCTTATGAAGCAGAACTTCCATAATCAGATCACACGTTTGCAAGGATCGGGCTATCCGGATCATGTTTTAGTTTCAGTTGCGGAAAAAGAGTAGAAAGGGATCCATGGAAGTTCAAGCCAATCTAATACTCATGTCAATTCACCGACACAACCAAGATGCACGGCTATAATTCCAAATGTTCACCAGCTGTCACAGAACCTAAAGAAAGTGGCACTTCGGGACAATATTAGGGCGCAATTTTCAGTACGTGATAAACTTGGGAAGTTTTGTGTGCTGGCGAATCCATCGCGTGGGGAAAGGGTGTTGAGCACAAAAAGGCATACACACCAATTTGTGGAGTGCATTTTGTTCGTTATTTATCTTATTCTGTTCACATGTGGGAAAAATATGTCGGCCAAACCAGCAGGTGTATGAATGAGCGACTGAGAGAACACAATTACAAGGCGGATAAACAGCCGCCAGAAGGTTTTCTCGCTGTTCACATTCACGCGTGGGGGGCGGGCCTTTGTTCCAGAGTACAATCATTATTGGTCGGCCTAAGGATGAGATGACTCGGTTGATCATAGAAGCCGAACTTATTGATGCTCTTGGAGATGTACGTATCAGCAAGCCTTCAATCGCTTTGTCACCCAAAGAAGTGGGTTTCCTGCGTACGCAGTGATACGTGATTTTATCTGTGATGTTTGTTTTGTTGTCCTCCTATTTATCGTTTCTTTATTGTAGGTAGATGACATTCTCGTGCATTTCTCTGAATACACGGGCTTATTGTCTTGCTCACCTGACGATTATGGCTTAAAAGCGGCTTGGAGGTCGAAAACAAACATGTTGTTGCTAGTAGTGCTCTGACATCTCAGTCTATTCTTTCCTGTGTCCGTTATTCACCTCGCGCTACATAAATTTATTTCAAGTCATAATCACGGATTATTACGCGATTTTTCTGCGCTTCAACTCTAACGCTTCACCGACCAACATATCTTACACAAGATACTTTCACGCGCATCCAAGGCCACACTGGCATTTAGCTCATCACCACTACCTCGAGCCTTAGCACATTGGAACAGCCTTCTAGATCACATCGTATCCATCTCCAACCGTGAATCTTCTCGTGATAACCTCATTTCGTTATATATATATATATATATATATATATATATATATATATATATATATATATATATATATATAAAGTCACCAGCGATTGAGCAAACGAAAAACGATGCTTTATTGCCAACGTTACGGCCGGGGACCGGCCTTCGTCAGGGCATACGTGCATATTACACGTGCAATATGCACGTCTGCCCTGACGAAGGCCGGTCCCCGGCCGCAACGTTGGCAATAAAGCATCGTTTTTTGTTTGCTCGTTCGCTTTTTCTGGTGACATATATATATATATATATATATATATATATATATATATATATATATATATATATATATATATATATATATATATATATATATATATATATATATATATATATATATATATATATATATGTATATATATATATTTGGCACACACAAATACGCGAGCGTGTATCTTAAAACTATGCGCTAACACAAACTTCTCTGTTCTCTTTGCCCTTTTCGGCTGGCTAGGGTGGGCCGGCTCACAACTCTATGTGGTGTTATTCCCCCTACCATCAGAGCATCGACTCGATGCTCATACACAAGGGGACACCAGGGTCCAAAAAAGGAAGAAACGATAAATATTGTGCGCAGGCCATATGCAGGTGCAAAAATAGTTTGTCGTTGGTCATAACAAAAGCATTAACACAGCTCACAGTTCGTTGGAGACCCAATGGACAACGTCGAAAAAAGAGAATATTCATTGCCGAGGTACAATAAGGCGAGTATCACCACGTAAAATAGGGCTTAAGCGAACGACATGCACAATCTCTGTTCGTGGCGAGTGACGCTGGGTCGTTGCCGAGCCTCCGTCGGGAATAACTTCATAGTTGATCTCTTTCAACCACCGTAATACTTTGTAGGGCCAGAAATACTTGCTCAAGAGTTCCTCGTTGAGTCCTCGCCATCTAACAGATCTCCAAAGCCACACTTGGTCGCCAGGTTGATAGGTGACTTGTCGATGGTGGATATTGTACCTTCGGGCGTCTTTACATTGCTGCAATTTTATATGCGCTCGAGCTAGTTGACGTTCTTCCTCTGCACACTGAATGTACTCCTCGGCATTAGGAGTTAACTGCTCGTGCTGGTCGATGTCACAAGGAATCATGGCGTCTAGCAATGCTTGCACGTCTCGACTGTAAACGAGGTGGAAGGGTGCAAACTTTGTCGTTTGCTGTGTTGCGGTGTTGTACGCAAACGTTACGTGCGGCAGGATCTCGTCCCACGTGTTATGCTGCACATCCACGTACTTGAAAATCACGTCCGCCAGGGTTTTGTTTAGCCTCTCTGTCAGACCATTACTCTGGGGGAGGGAGAGGGGGTATGCGGTTGTCTTACGGTGGTTCGTGTAACTAAGCTTGAAGATGTCATCCAAGAGTTTTGCCATAAACGCTGTTCTTCGGTCAATGAGGATGAAAGGCGGAGCACCACGACGAAGCACGCTGTAAGGCATGGAAAACAAGGCGACTTCAGCTGCTGCACCGCGTGGTAGTGACTTTGTCTCAGCGTAACACGTTAAGTAATCAGTTGCGACGATGATCCACTTGTTTCCGAAGTGAGACAAAGAAAACGGTACAAGGAGGTTCCTCCTAACCTGGTCAAAGGGCATACGCGGTGGGTTGATGGGTTGTAGGAGGCCTGCAGGCTTAACAGGTGGTGATTTGCGACACTGACATTCGTGGCATCTTTTCACGTAGCATTTGACACAAGCTAGGAGTTTAGGGGGAAAATGTAGCTGTCTTACCCGGTCGAGCATCCGTGAGTATCCCAGATGGCTGGATGTCGGCTAATCGTGGCAAACTAATAGCATGTCATCACATAAGTCTTCAGGAACGAATAGAAGATGAGATCTGCTGCCAACACCGGTGTTTTTGTTTGTATACTATGCCG